GTAGTAGTAGTAGTAGTAGTAGTAGTAGTAGTAGTAGTAGTAGTAGTAGTATTTGTATACGTGAACAAAGCTCAACGTGTGATTACGTTCATTCTCAGATGTTACGTAACGAAAATTCTCATTGATCGTGATTAATTGTACAATCTCGGAAATGATTAGCGTTCCAACTTTGGCGGCTTGAGAGTGAGAGAGAATATATCTGTAATATAGCTGTAAGCGGACGAACAAAGTCTGGATAACTGCAAGATGGCTTTGGTATTCTCGAAAATTCTTCCTTGGCTGAACGTGAATTCGAAGTATAGCATTCGTGGGTATACAGCTGCGTTTGCACGAATCACGAAATACAAGATAGTGCAGTTAGTATATTTCGTAAGATGGGCATTGAGGATTGAGCACTGTGCCTGATCCTATACGATGGTCGAATTACGTTTAACCGATAGAACTTGATAACTTGCGGTCGTACGTACTTACAAGTACTTGCAAGTACAAAGTACGCGTGTTTGCATCATCGTTTTAGCGTAAACACGAATTTTGTATCGTGTTTTCTCTCGTGTTTTCTCACGGAAAACATTCGTTCCGACTCGATCAAAGTTCGCGAATTGAACGCGATTCGAAAAAGATTGAAAGATTCTCGGAGCGAGAGAGGAGCGAAAATTACGGCGAGGGATAATTCTCGATGCAGAAAATTCGTTCTCGAAGATTGGCAACTTACTTTCGGTAGTTTTTCAAAATTGAACGTTTAACGTTCCATTTCCTTCTATCTATCATTTGGAACACTGCTCCGCAAACTGACGCCAACAACGACTCACTCGAGCAAACTGATAAACGACTGCGGCGAGAGATTTCTTTGACAACTAACGTTCCCTTGTTCGCTTGTTCGCTTGTTCGCTTGTTCGCTTGTTCGCTTGTTCCCTCCTTTCCGCTTCGTTTTACCGCGTGCGATGCCAGCCGCGCGCGTTATTCCAGCCCTCTCTTTCTTCCAGTCCCCTGTCACTGTTATATACGTATTTCTCTTCAGTCGCGCGGAACGTGCAGTACGCTGTTGCTCTCGAAGGAAGGAACGACTCTCACGGCGCGACTTGCTGCAACTTGCTGCAACTTGCCGATTCGCGCCGTTTTTCAATCAACGGTTGTTAACTACAACGATAAAACAGCGAAACGTAAAACGGCGATGTACGGCTCGGACGACGAAAACGAAAAGTAATAATCGAATCGAATAATAATCGGAAGTTTGCGTGCCACGTGTGTCTACACGTTCGCGTTCTATTATTCTATTATTAAAAGCGCGACGTATGTGCATCGAGTGATCACCACCGGCAAAGGTGAACTGTAAGCAGCAATATTTCGATTCGTCGCTTGGCAAAATTCGTTCGTTCTTCAAATCTACATTCGCGAGAAGCAGAAATATTCCTGGGAATATTATACATCGAGAGAGAGTATTAGACGCGAGACGTTTTCTATTGAATCGTCTTCGTGACGAAACAGGCGGTGTAACGCGATTCGGTGTAATTATCGGTGCTCGATGCGTCGGTGGTGTTCGACTGCGCGGTGTTCGTTTCTCTTGAAAAGAGAACCAAGAAAGCGTCTTTGGAAAGCAAAGCAACGATCGGCGTTTCAGGAGCAGCGCGCAGTCTCAGGAGAAACGCAGTTGAAAGTTGAAAAACGAGTTGAAAGGCGAGTGAGAAAATTTGCGTGTACACGCGGACATTTCCTCTTATCTTAGAAAGCACGACGAATGACTAATTGTAATGCAATTGATCGTCGAATGCTATAATTACGTGGGATATCGGTGTAATCGCGCTCGAACTGTAAAGAACTCGCGAGTAATGATCGTTCTTCGAGTTTTACCGGTCACTTCTCTACCGGTTTCTTCGTCTTCTCTCTACCGAGTGCATAGCGATTCTTCACCAAACGATCGCAAATAGGGAAAAAGTGGAACATTCTACTTTCACGTTCGACAAAGGTATGTACTTTTAGAGCGTGGAATATACACCGAGAAATAGGTTAATTATACATTGCTTATCGATTCTTTTTTCTTTTCTTTTCTTTTCTTTTCTTTTTATT